CGTTTTCATTTTATATTAAAAATTTATTTTAACTTTTAACATCTAATCATCACATATTTTATATTAATTAATTTATCTATGTATTTTTCTTAGTTTTATTTATATTTAAAATGAGAATATACAGTAAAACCTCTATAAAATAATAATGTTGGGACTTTGAAAATTTATTATCTTATCGAGTTATTGTTTTATCGATAAAATAATAATAATTATTTTATAAAAATATTCTATAAAAAAAACAAGAAACTTTATAGAAATATATGTAAGTAGGTACACGTAAGGAATCAATTGTGGCTTCGAAAACTCTTCACAACTTTTGACCCCATAAATTGTTGATGCAATAAGAAAAATTCAAGATGAGCTCCAACGAGAATCCAACTTTCATAAAAGACAAACTACATTGGAGTCATATTTTACTAAACTGCCTTAGATATATATGTCTTGGTTTTATAATTATTATCTTAGCCTATTGTTGGGACTATATTTTTACATAGGAGTTTCAAAAATATTATTGTCTTATCATCTTATCGCATTATGCTATTTTTTACATTGGCCCGAGTTGGGACCGGAGAAATTTATTATCTTATAGTGTTTATTGTTTTATCGAGTATTGTTTTATAGAGGTTCTACTGTATGTAGAAATATAAATAAACATGTATTTAATAAAAATATATATATAAATTAATGCTTTTGTGCTGATGTGGACACTCTAAATGGAGAGAGCACTCCTAATTATATATAAGATTGAATAAGAAGCTCAGTCATAATATAAATCAATATTTCTTAGTTGGTGTTTTAAATTATTAGAAGCTGAATCATAACATAAATCAACATTTTAAAAACAATATATGGAAAATAACCCAACTTTAATTGATGCAAAATATTAAAAACACAAAACATCATTAAATTGTCCAGTAAAATACTAAAATTAAACCCACACAAACCCTAGAAACAAAAAATGGCTTTTGAAAAGACATTAAAACCCAACAAAACTAAGACAACACTTTAAGATAGAAGTATCCAAATATGGGGTTTTCTTATTCGGGCTAAGAAAACCAAGCATGGGGTTTCGGCTTTCCGGCTATCGTTCGGTTTTGTGCAGCTTTTTAGATTTCGGGTCAGGTTTAAACATATAGAAACCGATCATATATTTATAAATCTCTGGTCAGAATTGGGGTAGGTATTTTTTTGGGATGTACACCAAATCCAAAAAAACTTGAATTGTTCTTTGGTTGTGTAAATTCGGGATTCTCGGTTTATTCTTGCCTTTTCAAATTTCTAGATTTTTTCAAGTTTTTCTGATTTTTTTAGGCTTGGCCGAATCCAAAATATCAACCATATCAAAATCAATTGAGTTTTTAGGCATAACCGAACCCTAACCAAACTGTTTTTTTTTTCTCAGGTTCATGTTTCGGGGAATAGCCCAACCCTACTATAAACTTAACTTCTTACACATACTATAATCATCGAGAGAACTACAAACAAAACCTATATGAATATAGTTGAAAAAAAAATTAACATGGCAATTACAAAAACAAACAAATATATGAAAACATTGAAGACACAAATATATGAATTTTCTCAATTTCTAATGCATTTAAAAAAATACATAAAAGTAATAATCATTTGGAACGAAGTGAAAGCTAGAAGAAAAGTACATCATCTTTTGGTAACAAATAAAATAAATTGTGAAGATATTTGTAACTCTGACACACATACAGTACAAAAGTTTTGCTTTATGTTAGAATTAAGGCATCGCACAATATCATCATAAAGGAATTGAAATACATGCTATCTTTTTTTAACAGAGTTGGCAAATTAATTTCATTGAAGTAGAGAACGACATAAAATTAAAAGTTTATGATGCTTCCAACTATTGTGTGACTTTCATTCTTCTAAATTAACTCAAAAATCTAAGATATCTGATTAAGTAACTGAATAGGCTAGACTTTTACTTATCTTATATTTAATATCATTCACACTTTTTGCCAAGTCTATGTATAATGTAGGAATTGCAACCCAAAATATTTAAAAAAGATGAAATAAATCTCATAATAAAGTCGTCATGTCACTGGTGGAAGAAAAAAGACTCGAGAAACGAAAGAAATACTGCATCAGAGAGACTATCATATTATCTTTTTTTCTAAACAAGTAAATGAGAAAAAGTAACAACACCACCCGCTATTGTTAAGTAAAGAGTAATTGATAAAACTAAATGAACCTTACACCACTCACCCGCGGGCTTTAACCTAGTGTTAAGTAAAGAGTAATTGATAAAACTAAATGATTGTCCTAACTGCAGCAGGTGTAGTGTGCATAGTTATGCAAGAAATTACAGAGTTTCTAACAGAAGTAGCAAGAGATCGATTGAGGAGTTTGTTAACATGTTCGTGTTAATATTATGTCTGTTTTGGTCTGTGCCACATACAGAAACACTAAAAGATCACATTAGTACAATTTCCTTTACAGACGTATATTATTTCAAAAACTGTATTACCACAAGGTCGAGAAGATAGTCAAATAATGACTTAAATAAAACAAAAACATCAAAGACACACCCCCTATTCCTTAACCAGCAGCCGTAGCTATATTCTTTTTCTACAGTTTTAGTGAACCATTTCTACCATTCTAATACGCATGGAACCATTTGAGTTAATTTTAGGATGTGTAAAATGAAGCTAACTCTATATATGAATGAGAAGAAGCCTATCAAACAAACTTGTAATATCTGAGGATTCTTCATTTTCGAAAACCAATTCTTCTTCAAAGAATCTGGAGTAGGTTTTGACATAGTGGTTTTTACACTATGGAGTTGGAATGGAGAGAGAGGAGGGCATTTGTTCAGTTTCAGCCGCCAATGCTTCTTTTAACCCAGGAAATTTGTTAGTACGAATGAAAGCTACATATGGCCATTAGGGAGTTCTCTTTATATTTCCTTACATTTATATATTCATATTTTAAATATTAACTTGAAATAATATATATTTATCTTTTTTATTCAAATGATTTATCTTATTTAAAAAATTGATAATCTGTTTACATTTTAAAAAGTTGAGTAAAAATTAATTAAGATAATAGAAAGCTAATGAGAAATTAGAGTTAGAGTTTTTTTAAAAACAAATAGAAGATGAGTTATTATATGTAAATTTAATTGTAGTGAAAAACATGAAAATTTTAAGAAATGTGATATGTTTGTTTCAAACAAAAAAAATTAATTTACAAAACTAACATATTAGAAAATAATCAATTGTCATGAGGCTCACATGTTACCACAGCAAAGTAGATATGTAAAAAAGTATACATATTATTTTTTTTTCATCTTATTTCGGGTGCAAATGCGATTTTACATTATGTTTACAAATTTTAAAGTTGAGAGTCAAATGCATATGCACGTTTATAGTCTAATAGAAGTAAACAAACATAACAAAAATATAAAAGTTTATAATTGTCTGATTACCCCCTGGCAATAGTCGGAAGACACTCAAAACTCAGGATAGGCAGTGTGGTAGTCCATATGATGAGTCCACTTTGTATCAGCTCGGTGCGTTCCTACCGGGGATAACCGAAAGCTGATAGGGTCTATCAAAAAAAAAAGGTAACACAAAACCATCATAAATCAAAACAACAAATATAAATTAAATGATATTTCCTAAACATAAAATTATGGGAAACAACCCGCGCTTGCGCGGGTTTCCATCTTTCCTTTTAGAGTTTACCACTCTTCATAGCTTCTTGAACTTTCTTTAGTTTAGGGTCTTGCTCCCTGAGTTCCAGAGTCTACATTTCAAACCTAGTAAAGATTAATAACAAAATCAGTTCTATAAAAGAACACATTTCTCAAAATCTTATTAATCTTACAAAGGAATTACATACAAACAAAAGTAAAATTTAGAAAAAAGGCAAAGATTTACACAAATTTTCAGTCTACAATTATCTGGACGGTCACGATCACGTTTGATTTTCTTTTGAATTAAGATACAAACAAAAAAGCAGTGTTTGAGCCTGGTCCAACTCAAGAAACTTTGGTCAGTTTGCCCTCTGTGAAGGACACGGCGCGTTTGATGATTGATGATTGATGTCAATGTCAAAATGCAAATCAACACAGCAAAAGTCCATGTGCCTCTCCAGCTGACACAACATTTCTAAGCATTCTGAAGCTGACACCTCAGTAAAAACCACTCACCAATGGAAACATTTGGATTAATACCAGTCAGCTTTTTATCATCACACGTCAGCTTAAAACAAAAACGAAATCCCTTTGATTCTTAAGACTCCTCGGTCAATCCTCTTTCTGTCTCTGTCATTCTCCTCTCGAACAATCTCAATAGCAAATCTCTCTCTCACAAATCCCAATTTTACTCCCAAGTCTCTCTCTACAACTCTCCTCATCTGCAACTCAAACCCAATCGTATCTTTACATGTTCCTCATAACTCAATCTGTTTATCGACTAGTGGACTGAGGAGAGTTGCGGAAGCAGGGCCGTCATAGCTTCTACAACGAATCCATGAATCGAATTACGAAGAAGCTGATTTCCCTGATTTCGATGATCAGCTCTGGCTCCATTTCAATTGTCTTCATGCTCGGTAAATTTCTTCTATTTCTTCTGTAATCCTTAATTCCTTAGCTTTATAGAAGTTTAATCTCTTCTCCTTTTGATTCGGAGAGTGAACTCGACGAGGTTGATTGGGATGAAGAAGGAAAGAAAGATGACATCTTCAATAAGAAGTTTAAGAGGCATAAGGAGCTTCTTCAAACCCTTGTAGAGTCAGGTATACCATTTTGTCTCTTTCTTTAATCGAATCATTTTTAATTGCTTGTCTATGTATTCATCAATCTTCACTCGATGAGGCCTTTAAGTGGATGAACAAACTAGACAAATTTGAATGGCAACATTTCAAACTTCGACCTGAATACAGAGTTATTCGTGAGCTGATGGTTTTTTTTTAAGGTAGCTGAAGGGAAAGACAAGTTTGTTCTCCAGCAAAAGATAAACAGAGCTATGAGGTTGGTTGAGTGGAAAGAGGCTTTTGATCCTAATAATCCAGCCAATTCTGGAGTTATCGAACGTGACAATGTTCAAAATGGAAATGCTGGAGAAGAAAAAGAAGAGCGCCTTGTAGCAGATGGGTCTAAGGACGATAATGATGACGAAGAGGAGTTTGATGACATGAAAGAAGGGGATGATATCCTGTTGGAGAAGCTTGAGGCAATCGACAAGAAACTTGAGAATAAGCTTTCTTAGCTTGATCATACCTTCGGGAAGAAGGGGAAGCGGTTGGCAGAGGAGATTAGAGATCTGGCTGAAGAGAGAAATGCTTTGACAGAGAAGAAAAGACAACCTTTATACAGAAAAGTGAGTGGAGATGTTTTATTTTCTTCGACAACGGTGGATTTTGGCGGACAGCTTTTGTCTTACTCTATTACTGAAATTATTATTCATGAGAAAGGATGATGGATATAGTTTTCATTTTATCGTTAACGATGATCATGTTATTTCATTTCTTTCTTTTGTTCGCAGGGATATGATGTTCATGTGATAGCTGTAAAGAAGGAGAGCTTGCTTACAGGGAAGAAGATTATTGTGGTTGATGATAATATAGTAAACCGGGGAGTAGCTGCAGGAGCTCTCAAGAAATTTGGAGCAGAGGTTGTTTGTGCAGAGAGTAGTCAAGTTGCTTTGGGTTTGCTTCAGATTCCTCACAGTTTCGATGCTTGCTTCATGGATATTCAAATGCCTCAAATGGACGGGTAAAAGCCAATTTTGATAAACCGGTTTGGTATTGGTTTAATTGGAATCGATCTGATTTGGTTTGGTTATATTTCAGTTGGTTAGCTGTTTTAAACATATTTTTTCGTGTAATTTCTGCTAATTAGTTTTGTGATACACACGTAAACCATCAAATTCTTTTATGTACCAGTTTTGAAATAGTGACATAAAAAGTAACTTGCTGTTGGATCATGCTGTCTCATATAAAGACAGTCAATGCACTATGCCATATATATGATCACATAATTTAGTATAAGTACAAACTATACAAAAAAAATTTACAAATAATTGATTAATTCACTGAAGATGCTAGAGTTTCACTTATATGAGACTAGCTTCAATCATGGCAGAATTATGACCTATAAATTATAAAATAGAGGAAATGAATCTCATAATAAATTTGTTGCATTATATTAGTGATGGAAAAGAAAATATATTAGTGATGGAAAAGAAAAGTTCAATAAACTAAAGCAACATTGCGTCGGAAAGATTATACTATATTTTTTTTTTAAAACATGTTTTACAAACACGAAAAATAAATTAATTCAAAAAAATTAACAACAGTACCCGCGCGTAGCGCGGGCTTTAACCTATTTAATGAATAACAGAAAATGTTTTCACTTTGAGCTCGTTTACATCAATTTGCGAATATGATTTGGACTATGTCACTTGTATATGGTCGTCCATGGTAGCGCAAAATGAGAAGTGTAATTTAATTGGTTCTTTTAATTGAGTCTAGATATATAAAAATTGATGGAACAAATGATATACCTACAATTTACAAATAGATATAATATTGCATAAATATCATATGATATAACTATTTGGTGCATCTTCCAAATACCAAGCTAGAATGATAACTTTAAAATAAAATTCAAAAATTACATTTTCATAGACAATTAAATATTGATTAGTTCTACGAATAAAAAAACATGATGCTTCCCATTGATCATATGAATTATTGGTTGCTTTTCATCCATCCATCCATCCACAACCGTCATTGGCTTGGCTTTATTTTCATCATTTTCGGTCCATCTACCCGCAAATGTGATAGGCATGGTTTTATTTTCCTGGATGTAAACTCCGTCACTTTTAGCAATCCATAAACGGAGCTCATTATTACATGGAGGAACTCGAGGTGACATTCAAGAAGAATTGAAGACGAGGTATCGGTTTAGTTTTAGGTGGTTCAGATCAACTGACAAGGAAAGACTGATCCAGGCATACTTTGCTCAAACGCCTATTCCTGGTGTAACTACTTGTTTCTCATTGAATTTCAGTTTCATCCCGTGTCGACCACCTTTTACAACGAGGAGCATCTGACCAGGACCGAGTTTATTTTGAACTTGCAATTATTTGCTTCTGTCAACCCCAAATAAATAGCAATAACAAGCACAAAAAGTATGAGATTATTCATTTTCTGAAACAAAATATTATGGATGAATATGAATCTAAAGGCATCAATACGTAGTATTTATATGAAAAGACGTTTGTGTGATGAATGTTTAATGGTTTTAGCTAAATTTAACCACAAATATGAACCAATTGATTCTTTGGTCGAAAAGGAATCAATGTCGAAAAGTAAGGATGGCCAATAAGATCAAAACATGTAAATTTTAATTTTTCAAATTATAGCTGACTAAGAGTAATGCTTGGTGAATGTTTAAGGCAAAAAACATGGAATATCATCTATCTAGTTTTGAGTTTACAATTTGTTCATATGTAAATGAGTTCTTTTAAAACTTAGTCAACACGTCCTCTTAAATCCATTTAAAAAAATAAATAATGATAGAAAACTGAAAGTCTGAAAATCATAATTAATACAAGCGTCCTTAAAGCCTTAATAGTTAATACAACATAATAATTCAAATAAAAAAAGAGAAAAAAAGCATACATATATATATTGATGATAAATCCCAAAGTCAAGATTGGGTCGTTGTAGACTTGTAGTCATGCTGGAGCGATCAATATGTTTGCCGAGGAAACATGGGTTGAGTTGCAGAAGTTGAAGCCACGTCAATGTTGAAGGATTCCCTACCTTGGACCGGTTGGGTTGCTGAAGTGGAAGCCACGTCAATGTTGAAGGATTCTCTAACTTGGACCGCTTGCTCCTCGTCATCGTCTTCGTCGTCGTCAGTTTCCAGTATGTGGTGTGCCTGTGAATCTCCATGCGAGGAACCAATCCTCTCCAGCTCCATTATAATACTGCTCATGGTTGGTCGTTTCTCCCCTTTACGATTCAGACACAGCCTCGCAATCTTGGCCATAACCTTGACCTGATCCAAAGCGCAGTCGTCTCTGATTCGGGGATCGATGATGTCCAAAAGTGGCTTCTCTTTCATGTCACGGAGGAAGTTTATTGCTAATTTCTTGGGATGTTGAGGCGGCGGTTGGAGGATGTAAGGTTCTTCTCCAGTGAGGAGCTCAGCAAGAACCACACCGTAACTATAGACGTCACTCCTGTCCGTGTACTGGCTGGACTGGTGGTACTCCGGGTCAAGGTATCCGGGAGTACCTGAGACCACAGGTGTGGTCAGGTGGGTGTCGTCCACGGAGATAACTCGAGAAGTTCCAAAGTCCGCCAGCTTAGCACGATGCTTGTGGTCAAGCATTATGTTTGCGGTTTTGACATCCTTGTGGTAAATGGGACACGTCACAGACGAATGAAGGTAACCAAGAGCATGGGCGGTGTCTTTGGCAATGTCCCATCGTAGTTCCCAATTAGCAGCCGTGTGACCACCTTCAACATCACCGTGGAGAAGCTCGAAAACATTCCCGTTGGGGATATATTCATAGACCAAAACAGGGACTTCCGTCTCCAGGCAAAATCCAAATATACTCACGATGTTGCGGTGGTTTATTTGTGTGAGAACCACGACCTCGTTTATGAACTCTGCCACTTGATCTTTGTCCACGGCCTTTGCCTTCTTTACTGCGACGATCCGACCGTCAGGGAGCATTCCCTTATACACGGTTCCTTGTCCACCTTGGCCAAGGATCCTATCCGAGCTGAAGTTTTCTGTGGCTTTCTCTATTTCTTTGGAGGTGAAAATAACTGTTTTCTCCACAGATCTGTCTTCCCTTGAAGTCAACTGTTGCTGTAATAGAAGACCTCCGTTACGCTTAAACAACTGCCTCCTGAGCCTCAGCTTTCTATGCCTCTTGACATATTTGTACAGCCAGAATCTTAGTCCTACGAGCAACACGCCCAAACCTATGCTAACCCCTGAAAATCCAGCAAAGACCAAGGCAATATACATATATTAGCTACGTGGTGCATCTTTTGCGGGATAAGATATATATAATTTGTATATACTTTAAGAGATATCAACTATGTTATGTATATATATTTTTAATATGGTATTATGCATTTTTTTAAATGATAGATCTCATAAAAATATATATTTATATTTATAATATAAAGTTAGATGGTTTTTTTTCACTATTATTTAGATGATAAATAAAAAAATAATAATAATGCATGACGTTGATTCTCATAAATTTCAAACATAAAAATAGTCCCACGAGTTAGGAGATAACTTGGATAGAAAGTAACAGACAATTACCTAAATAAATTGGCCAGGTTTGATTCTTCTTCTTGACTAGGCAGTGATGGCCTCCTAGAGTATTTAGACACGTTTCGTCGCTATCACATGGATTGGGACGTCCATTTTCACACTCATTAATATCTACATGTAAAAGAAAGTGTCATGAAATATTAATATCCAAATGCATGATTATGCATGATTAGCTAGTAGAGCTCCAAGAACTGACCTTGCATCCTTGTACATCGTATGGGTTACCCTCGTAACCATTGGTGCACGCACACTTTAGATAGCCGATGTCATCACTAATGTCGCTGCGTTGTATCCGACCGCAGTAGCAAGGTCTAGACTGAAACTCATTAAGTGTTACTGGGACCTCTGGGTTGATGGTGCCGCACCCCAAGGATTCTCCCAACAACAAATTCCTCGTCTGAATTTGCCACTCTAGCTGGATAGTCGAATATTTCCTCTCGTGAAACCATTCAGGAGAAGTGTTGCTGTCCCACGGAAGGCTAGGTTGGGCTAACTCGTCGGTTAAGAAGGCGACTGCACACCGATTACTACCGCTGTCGTTGCTCTCTATTTTCACACCGATTACTTTAAAGAAGTCGTCCCTAGGTGTGCTTGCGCTGCAACATTGGTAGCCAGCGCACTCGTCCGTTGAGCCCTTTGATAGGTAAGAAAGATGGCAGCTGGAGACGCATCCGACAATCCTGGGCTCAACATGCATCAACGTTGCCGTGTGATTACACCCAAAAGCCACAAGTTTGTTATCGATGCTGATGGAAAAAGGGGTCTCTGTAAAATCCAGAACCTCTTTCCCGTCTCCGCGGCCATCGCACCCCATCGAAACTATCTTGGTTTTGACGCGGAGAAAACCAAAAGGAACGGCATCGGGTCCGCGCTCTAAGATTGCTGCTCCGGGAAGATCGATTTGCACCACTTCCTTTCTGATCTTGGGCAGAAACGGAACGGAATTGTTGCATTGGACCTCGTACCATTCATCCAGGAAGCACCCTCGTCCAATTCCAAAAGGATACGGTATGGAGATGTTTCCGCAGTGGCGCTCACAAGACCTAGAATTGTTGACTTGTGCTGAAATGGAGTTCAACACGAGGACAAGAAGACACAGTTGACAGAGTAAGAACCTCATTTTGTTTTTCTCTATTTGTTTTTTTTTTTTGGTTTCCTCAATTCACTTCACACTCCTCACTCCTTGTTCCTTAATATAGTGACATGCTCATGCCGTAATAACGTTGCCAAAATCCTCCCATGCCCTCAATGACTTTGCCAAAAGACATTTAATGTACATGGGTAAAAAGGTCGAGACAAGCCATTTAATTAACTATGGCATCCTCAGACTCTCTCGTATGTATCATGTTTTCTTCTCATTGATTAATTACCAGACTTGATTACATTTACTGGCATTGGCATGGCTTCGTTTAGTTTTGAATTTCTACAAGCTACAAAGATACTATTTGCATTAGGTGCACAGTCAGACTTCAATGGCCTAGTGTCGTCATATTTAAGGAACACGTCTTGATGGATTCTTAAATAAAACACATCAGTACGCTTGCTTTATACACGCTCAACCAACAATCATAACGAATTTAATTACTGGTTTGGTAACTAGATGAATTTAATTTGGTTCGTCTAGTCCTAGTCATTCATCAACATGGGAGAGTTGGTGACCAAACAAACCGTAACTCTTCTTTAGAATAAAGTAACCAGAGTCCAAACTAAACATTAACTTCCCTGAATAAAGTAACCAGAGTCCAAACCCAAACTTTATCAGCTCATGTTCGGTTTTCGCAATGTGTGAACAAGTCCGGTTCCGGTATGCTCGACCCATAAATTAGATTTGTTTGTTTACAGTTCACAAGTGTGTGGTCTAATTCTTAAAAATGGATATAGACATAGTACAGTAAAACAAAAAACACTGTGATTATTGCAGAGGCCATATTCAACTTGAGAAAGAACCTATATACATTGCGATTTAAATCCTCTGGAGTTAAGAAAAACAAATACAAGTGGTGCTGCATGCTGCTTCTTCATTTAAAATGTACAAAGAAGAGAGGGTTTACGTTATATAACACTAACGCCGGTGGTGGTGGTGATAGCGTCAGTCACACGTATCATACATATTCGTATACAGGATACAACAAAATAGATTCTTCTTTGGTCTAACATCCCAAATCTTCCTCTCTCTCTCTCTCTCTCTATAAAAATAACCCAAAACAGAAGAAAGAGAGGCGGTGGTTATTGGGACGATAAGGATATAGTACAGCCTAGCTCTCGAGCCGCGGTGTCAAGAAACCGAGTGGGCATAGTTGTGGAGAGCAAGCTGTGAGCTTCCCAGTTCAAGCATTTTTGGATATCTGCTTTCCAGTCTATTGTCGCCGCGTTGAAGAACCGATACGACGGGCTGTCCATTCCCTTCTTCTCTGCTGTCGGCTGCGGTTTCGGAGTTACCTTGATGGTTACGGCGCTTTGGTTCATGATGTCCCGTAGTACCGACGTGCTCAAGGCCCGTACGTGTGCACTTGGGTGTGAAAGGCACCGTATTGTTGCCGGTAGACGACACTGCAAAGTTGCCAAAAAAAAAAAAAGACGCACGTGTTAATACCACTGATCATCTACAATCGAGTCAAACCATCGGCTCTGTTCGGTTCCTGCTCACCTTCAATAGATTGGATAAGCCGTCAACCACTGCTAGTCCAGATGGTCCCCAAGCTAGCACTGGCTGTATTGCTCTTGCCGTGGCTTCAAGCAGCTGCAAAAAGTTTTGGGATACATCAAAGACCGGTTTTCAGTCTAGCTAGCAGTCTATAAAAGGTGTAGCAGTTGGTGGGTACCTCAAGCTGAGGTAATGTACACGCTTCTCCATCAACAAGCATTCCGTCAGTTGCCCGTAGAAGAAGATCCGATGCACTTGCCAAAATCACTAGTGACTCGGGCCTCTCGTGATTCCGCATGAGTTCCACCATCACTTTGACTATCCGCTGGTTGATTTTCCACATTTTCTGACCTTCTTCATCATCTTTGGCGATCCAAGGCTGCAACTCTCTCTCAGCCTGTAAATAACATATCACAGCACCATTCAACATACTGTACTACTAATACGTAAAAGCAAATCCATACATGAGAGATCTCCTGAATCAAGATCTACGCAACGTTAAAGATAAGCCATACGTTTTCTGAAACAGATTAAATTAATAAAGTCAAAAGAGAAATATGGACCTGAAGAACAACTGCTGCAGCTGCTTTTGCTGGTGTTGCAGATACGACATTACACAGTGCATCAACTACCTGATATATGAAAATTATGATGAGTGAACGAAGTCTAGCCCTGGAGAACTTGAGTTCGTACCCAAAAAGAGAAAACATCAAGGAAACTGTAAGCGAGGTGGGAAATAGAGATGCGGATATTTTTACCTGTCTCCATCCTTGCTGAGCAGATGTGCTTTCTGCGGTCGGCTGGATTTCAGGAGCAGCAATCAGTTTGTGCCATAACAGTGAAACCACGGAGAAAGAAAGCTCCGGTTTCTCTGCAAGTACTGACCTCAAAAGAACTTGTGTACCACAATAAAACCCTGCGAGCCTATCAGCTGTGAGGAAATTCGCTAGATCAGAAGCATCCAAGAGGAAATCTTTGATACCCTTCTCTGAGGGTCTGGTCCCTGAGCCTTCATCTGAATGTCTAGCATACTTATGGTTGCCTCTTGGAGTCATTTCACTACGTGACGTGGAAGTCATCGCTGTACCAAAGCCTGTGGTGCTTGCACATGCGTTCTGCTGTTTCCAGTTTAAGCTGGACAGAGAATCCTTCTGAACCGGTGCATTCTTGAGGTAGGCTTCTAAAGGTTCAGCTTTATCGACAATAGACGCTACAACTTTGCTGTGGACGTCAATGAGGTTATACAGTGACGATGCTCTTTTATGAATTTCCTTGTCCCACTTACATCTCATCAACCCAGACAATGCATGCGTCAAGGCCTTTGAACGTCTGAACAGTTCGGAGATATGAGCTGCAACCATAGCGGCAGCAACTATCTCGCTTGAACTGTAGCTCCACGGAGTCCCCACAGAAGATGGTTTCAATGAAAAGAGTGCCTCTAGAATTGCCAAGATTCGGCGTGTATGGTTAATGGCCGAGTCAATCCCAGCTCCATACTCGTTAGATGACCCATTTATCTTTACAGGCTTTGTAATAGTTCCAGCCACTGCAGAATTGGAAAAGTTTCCCCCTCCAGAGATCATAGGATAAAGCTGAACCTCACAGGCAAGAGCACAAACAGCAGCAAGAACGTATGAATCAAAGGCTGCCACAGGTCCCTGTCCCTTAACACTTCTACTTTTACGGTTAGTAGTTTGATTCTCAGATACAGATTGATTCTCCTCGGCAGTACTAGCATATTCGCTTCTGGTTCTCTTGCTCCCACTAGACTGTGCTTCATGGCTAACACATACAGTCAACACAACAAAAAGTAGGCGCGAAGCTAATTCCACACCGGCGCATGATTCTAAAAAGAGAGCATGGACCATAGCACGAAGCTCAGCCATAGCAAGGTTTTTGGTAGCTGATCTTGCGGTGAAACTCGATCTAGCTTTCCTGATATGTTCCCTGGAAGATTCTGGCGGAAAAGTTCTACTCAGGATTGTTTCCACGGTGGCAACAAATATTTTCATCAAGCATGCTTCAGACGGACTTCCCCGTGGAAGATATTCAAGTACTTTGAGGAGTGGAATGTATAGGTTCCATGATAAGATAGGAGGTTGCAGTGGGGTTGCAACTATGATTTCGGGAAGATCAACCGCTGAGGAATTTAGAGGAATCAATCCATAGGCAGCTTCCCATATAGTGCAAATTCTCCACTCGACTTCAGGACCATGAGCACAAAGCATTGAGGCAATTCCTTGAGCAGTGGCTTCAATGGTTGCTTCTGCTGCAGGAACTTCTATCTGATGAGAAATACAGGGTTGAGGGAGATTAGTCAGTCTCGAATATAATTTTCTAGCAGAACAAACTTGGTGAGATAAGTCGGTAGAAGAGCGAAAAGAAAACAAAAGTAGGATCCATGCCTGCTTTCTGTAATTTGAACTGTAGCCACCAATAGGCGCATGCTGAATTTCTACTCCCTCAACTTGGCTTAGTGGAGGAAAAAGCAGTGCAGGCTGTGAGAGTATGCGGAAGAGCAAAGCGGCTGCAGCATCAGCAGCAACACCTGCCCTCATAGACATAGCAATTCCTATTGCACGCAAGAAGTGCAAATGCATCCAGTTCCTGGGTAGCTACATCAAGAAACAGAGTTTGATCAAAGCTTATCCTTTTAATGACGTATAAGCTTTCTGGAGAGATTAAAGGATTCATATTACGCTTACCCTTACACCAGATGCATAATCTTCAGCAGCCCGAAGAAGCTCCACAAGCTGTACAGCAGCATCAAGTGCATCTGGAGCCCACGACGGTGGTGCTTCTAAGAGTCCAAGAAGAAGTCTCTGAGTAGCACTTGGAGTTGCAATGGCATAATATCTGACAGTAAAACACGAAAGTGAGAAGCAATTCTGAACGAAAGCACAACCTTAAAAGCTAGCGACCGACTACTAATAACACAGTCCCCAATCCAAAGGTTAAGTACAAAAACATTACCTATGAAACAAACGTGCATATGGCTCAAGAGCTGGAAGACCGGCAACTAAATGCTCATCTAAGGACGTCGTCGGTGGGGGAAGAAGAAGTGCAGGGACAGCAACCGCAGTTAGCGTAGCAGTCTCATATCGAGCAACTTCATCATCACAAACGCTCAATATGACACCAGCTCCATTAGCAACCGCCCATCTTGGCGTCGAAGGCATTAGTTGAGGATGTTTACCAGATCCTCGAGAAGCTGCCAAAGTAACACATTGCTCAACACGTCAGAGTTGTAAGAAGCAACTCAGAACCCATTCTATTAGCCACAGGTGATGGAAACAACATATATGAACGAAATGATAGAACAACTCTAGAATTATTAAACTCACCAATGGTTGGCGGCTTGAGCTCTCCAGCAGCGTATTTACCCATTACACCACTACACCTGTATATACAAACAACAGTATTAGTTGAACGTAAGTTTAAGCACACTAAAGAACCTCGGCTCGTAGTCCTCAGCAGAAGCACACTACAAAACGTCGGTCCATACTTACCAACGGAAGTAGTCGCTCCTTATACCCAAGGGAGCAGCAAGTAGTATATCACTGATCCATGGAGACAAAGGCCTTAGCGGTTTCCTTTCATGATGTACTGGCGATGCAGACTTAGGCTCTGACAGCGTAGAGCCACTAGTTGTAGCTTTGCTCCGACAATTCCTCTCTGTTTCACCATTCTGCTGCTCAGTCTTATATATAGGACGATTGTAATGCGTCAGAATGCGAAGGATTTCTCCGCACGCCAGAGCCCATTGCTCCGAATAGTCATTCTGTTGGCATTGTGAACATGTCAGCCTGAATGACTAAGCAAGCAAAAAAACGTTTGTTGGAAAAAACTATTTACCTCACTGCTTGGGCAAACTAAAGATATGAAAGAGGCAAAGGGATGAGCTTCCTTGCTGTACACCAGAGAGCCATCAATGAGACATGAAATGATTGGAAGGATCACCGCATGACCATGCTCCGGATGATGGAGGACGAACATAGCTGATTCATCCGCAAAGAAAAAAAAACAAATCAGATGTGACATTGACAATAAACAAGTCTCGACAGAGGAGTTTCATAATTCATACCCAGCACATCATCCAAAAGCCGCTTCTCAGTTGATGGATACTGATGCCGAACCAACTGACACAGATATTTACATATATAAAATCAGTAAAACTTCACTACCGAGAGGAACAACCAAGAAACTTCATTAGGCACCACACAGTTTTCAAGTACCTCTGCAATGTCATCCGGGAATTGCTCCGATGTGAATTGGCCAAAGTACTCGACATAAGCAACGACTTGATCCTAAAAGGAAATCCCGGAGGAACACAGTCAGTAATCAGTAATCAGTAATCAGTAATCAGTAATCACAACACCCCTCAGTCATGTGTAGCTCTATCTCAAAGCTTACCTTATGTTGTTGAGGGTCTCGTGGCGGAGGCCATAACAAGGAGGAGAATTGAAGACCATCGATCCACCTCTCGGATGAAGTAGCCATCCAGAATTAATGAAGAATGGTTACAATCTAACACACCAACTGCACAAAAGACCCTTTGAGAGATCTCCAAACTCTTTTTTTTTTCTCTACTAATCGAGAATCAGTAGCTCGTAGTATAACAGCACAGCCCCAGATTAGTGCTTGATCTTGATCTACCAACACACTGTACAGTAAATCGAAGCTGGAGAAGGAAGAAGAAAAACGCTAAATCCGTGTGTTGTTGTTGATCCTAATACAGGCTGTGGAACTAATATTCGCTCTTTCCTGTAGATACAATTAAGAAGAAGAAATCTCAAATCAGATAAGGGACGAGATGTGGTCGAGAAGTTTGTAATTCAACACAGAGAAGACAACAAATCTATGCTGAGAAAAAAAATGCAAGTAGATAAACACCAAGCGAAATTGAGGTAATCGAATCAATCCACAAGAGAATCAAACCGAAGACGCACAAAGTTTAGAAGAAGGAACCGGAGAAAAACCTGCAGGAATCTATCTCCCTAGGCGATTTTGCTTGCTGAGAGTCTCTTTAAGTTGGTTAAGCTTTCTGGATATTTTGAGAGAGAGAGAGAGATGAAAATCCGATTAAGGAATATCAGTGGGAAAAGATGGAAAGCAAAAAAAAAATGGAAAATCAAAAATGATTCGGGAGGATACAGAGAATGAGATTGTGGCTTTGGAGAGGGAGAGAGAAAGAGATTTGGAGGCTTCTCCACTCGGTTTAAGATTTCCGTCCTCCTGACGTGGCGCCGATATTTCCTCGCTTTGCCACGACCTTTTATGTTTTCAGATCTCATCTTCCATCATCATCCATGCCCATACATACATTATAGTATTATACATACATGCCATCATCATCCTCAATTGTTTTTCTCAATAACAAACAAATTTCATTTTTTAATTCTAACAGATTCAGGCTGTAACGAAATTACGATTTTCTAATTACACTCAGTTTTATTTCAGAATTTGGTCTATTCAGTTTTGAGCTAGATTCATCATAGTATGTTAATATTACTGATGAAGAATTTGCAGTATATACAAATCGTGTACAGAGAGATCCAACAATTGTTGGTCATGGTTGTATTATTATTTTATTTTCATTAATTTAATAACTACAAAGCTTTCGCATGATTGCAGTGATTAGTTAATTTAGTTTTGAAAAAATAGTGACATATGTCCGAAGATATTTTGGGAGGAGCCACGTTCAGATGGTACGAGGTGTTACGTACACCCTAATAATTTACCACCGTTGATTCAGTGCCACCCACATATTCCTTGACAAATTTTTCGGGCAGCTTACCCGGAAGAGTCTCGAGCCGTTCGATGGCTGTGGAGTAACGGGCAGCTTTTTGAGGACACAGCCCGTTGAGAAATATCCAAATGGGTCCCACGGCTCAGTTTGAGATATTTGGTATTCTTCCCACTTGTTACTACTCCACCACATGAACAAGTGGAACATAACAAGATGACGTGTACCAATCACAGTGGAGCAAGAGATATATGGACGTTGATCTTCCTCCTGACACAGACGTGGCGCAATAAGATGCGAGCAATATATCGGAGTCATAATCTCCATACGATTCGGCGATGTGGGGTCCACTCTGTGGATGGCTGTCCGAAGAAGTGAAGATGGAAGCATCACTGGGCTTTTCATGCTCATCAGCTCATGCTCCCATGTATGGATGGGCTCGAACCATACGCAAAGATATGTAACTGGGCTGAATATTATAGAAATTTAGTACAAAACATGAAACCAATAATATATGCTATTTATTTTTGCAATAATATTCATTTCTAATTTTTGCAATAAATTTAACACTCTCTTTTGCTGCGTAAAATGTACACTTGAAACAAAAAAGATGTGGTGCACCGTGCACGTTTATCTATTCACCCGTAACCTGCAAGAAGTTGGTGTGTGACCAAAATTATGCACGAATGCTTTTTTTTTTAATCTGAGATTGAGTTTCTTCGATTGTGTTATTATGTTTATCATTTGATACCCTTTAAGCATGGCAGTAAAAACACCTTTAAAAACTAATAAATTTTGGAGTTCGCTTCAAATTTTGGTTTATGATTTACCAGTTGTGAAAAAACAAAAACAAAATTGTTAAAAGTAGTAGTAGTAGTATTCAACTTTTATAAAGCTACAGTCTGCCTACTTTTCTTTTTGTTAATGTATCATTTTAACATTTAATGTTTTGTTTTGCCCAAACTAATAATAATAATATCAATGTTTTGTTAAAGTTACACTAGTATGGTGGGAAAAATGCTTAAAGTTTTCTAAAACTTTTTTGAAGAGTCGTATTCTCACAAATGGTAGAAATTTATATTTTAATTGTTCAAGTTATAGTCCAATGAATTGGTTCCATTGTGGTTTAGTGAGCGAGATATTCATTATCCCTTTCACTATCAACAGTACCTTTTAAATGATATTATTTGTCTTCATGTATCGATCTACTATACGTCTTGAAAATACTATTTTCCACAGGAGAACCCTGACATTAATCGATTTAATATAAGAAAAAAAAAACCAACAAATTCAAATCAAACTTTTTTCAACGCATAATTTGAAAACGCAACTTCAACAAAATTAAGCACAAATTAGAATGACTCATTAGAATATAGTCTCAGTATGAAGCCTTACATAATGATATCAAACTAGAAGTTAACATTACTAATTAGAGGTAAGTTTATGTCATCAGAATCTCAGATCGTTATTTATACGCGGTGGTTACATAAAGTAATCCCTTACCTATGATAATCCATTTTAATTTCAAACGTCTCAGATAGATGTGATCATGTGGGGATCTAATTTCAAAATTCTTTCAGAACTTTACATGAGTAAAAAACATATCCATTTACTACGTTGATAACAGGTAAGTGAATGGAACAATCTAGAACCAAACAATGAGCTAACTAAAATATGTAAATAGACGAATGCAGTCAACAAATGATGAGGCAAAGGTCGGCTGGTGAAGCTCCAATGAGAAGGGTCAGCCACATTTTGGACGGTGACACGTATCAGCCCCACTCACTCTCTTCTTTATTCAATCATTTTCTTTTTAATCTTCTTTATGTGCTAAAGACTAAAGTATGGTCAATTTTAAATTAGAGCACTGATGTTGACTTTTTATATCTTTCGCATGAACAGTGAGTGTTCATTCATTCATGTACCATCTCACATTTTCTTAATATTTTTTTAAAAATAGAAATAAAAAGAATTCACATTTTCTTAATCGTATTGGATTCTTGTTGTGATTGGAAGTATATTCAGATCAACCTGAACTGTTCCAATTAATGTCATATCAGACATTTATTATAAAAAGAATGTTATAATCATTGAATTGCTTGTTCCAATTTTAAAAACCACAAATTCGAGTAGGACATATTCGAATAAATTCATTTCTGACACGACCACATTTGGATTTGCATCACTATATCAATGACTCAATGTACTGTAACCATATTTTGGAGGATTCTTGTTTGCTGACAAATGACTACCGAACAACTTCAAATTTCAAGTAGAACTGCGTATTTGTAATTTCAAAAGTTCTTTCAGTATTGATGTTTTAGGTTTGTGTAGACGACGAAGCTCACTCAAATCGGCTAATAGCAGATTATTAAGAAATCATCATCTTCAGGTGACAAATAAATCCTCTAAATAAAAATGACCAACACACTAAGTTAAAAGAAAGACTCAAACACCACAGACTAAGTTAAAAACTGCTAAAAAGAGTAAAGAAAGACTCCAAAATAAAACCAGAAATCTAAAGAAAAACAAAAGCAGAGCTCTGCTGCAGATCTCAGTCGGTGGTAGAGAAACCGAGATCATGATCCGGTGGATCAACAGATAGCCTGAGAACATCCATAGCCTCAGAAACTTTAGACTTGAGTGCCTCTGGTGACTCGATCAGGTGCAGGATCTCGGCTTGATCCATCTCCAACAACATTCCTGTCACTTTAGCCATGTGAACTGCTTCTTGCATTTCCACAAGTGGGTAAAGGTGCTCCCCAAGCATCTGTGTCAGTATAAACAAATAAATTTACATTACCAATCTTCATCAATTCTTTTTACTATATGACCATTTTAATTTGTTTCAACCGTTACTTTATGTTTTTTTCCGTGCGAACTCAGTTATTCAGAAAATATTTTGTGAAATGCAAATGCAAACTTTATCTTTGCGTTTGGCATTTACATTCACAGTTAACAAAGTTATGTTGTGTAAAGTGATAAGAGAGGTTAAATAAGATGGAGAGAAGAAGAAAAAAAGGGGCAAACCCGAGTGCGCTCAGCAGGACTAGCGGAAGCTAAGGAAGAAGCGAGCTTAGAGATTGGAAGGAGAGGAGCTTTCTGTTGAGGGTGAGAAGCATCAAGAGCGACTGAAGAAGCATCTACTGGCAGAGGAATGATTCCTTGCGGAACACTCGACTCCATCCCGTTCCTCCCGTTACCAGCACCATTCATATATCTCTGGCTCGGGTTACGGTGCATAAACTGTCAAAAGTTCCAATCCAAAAAAATTCAGTTTCATGATTGCTGAAAACTACAAAAAGAGCAAGTCATAGTTAGTTAGTAACATACTTGTTGCTGTTGTTGTTGGATGTGATGCGGCATGTTAGCAGCACCACGCCTTAATCCCATGCGTGGACCGGCCATAGGTTGTCTCTGAAGAGGATAAGGCATAATGAAGTTGCCCGGGCCGGAGCCTGGACGCATACCGGGCATGAACTGAGGCTGGAACCCGTATCCAATGGGCTGGGACGGGACTAGACCCGGCCCGTTCGGCCCTACGTACATGTGCTGAGGTGGTCCACCTGGCGGGTGATGGAACCCTCCCATTGGAGCTGGCATTGACCCTGGTGCCCTAATCTGTGAAAACAGCGCCTGAAAAAAACAGCAAAACGTTCCAACACAGCTTTACTTAAAAAGCCCTAGTATTTTATTTTTTTAGTTAAAGGAAGTCTAAGTAACCTGTAAGTGTGCTCGTCTATCTTCTTTGCGCTGCGCAAGAGCTACGTAAAGTGGCTTCCTTCCTATCATCTTCCCATTCATTTCATTCAACTGCATTGTCATACATGTTTGTTCAATTTTCAGCTATCAAAATATAGTATAAAATAATACAAGAATAATAACTTTAAGAAAACAATTAACTCACAGCTCTTGAAGCTTCTTCAGGATTGGAATAAGCAACGAAACCAAATCCTCTGCTCAGTCCTTGTGGATTAACCATAACCTATACATTTAATTATTAGAGACTTCTGACCAAAAAAAAAAGTACATAGATAACATCAGCAACTACGTATGTATGAACGTATTATTAGTTGTTACCTTGGAAGAGGTTACATTTCCAAACTCAGAGAACATCTCCTTGAGTTTCTCATCATCAACGCTATCATCAAGATTCTTCAAATACAGATTCGCTCCCTGAGATTTCTCAAACCGGTTTACCCTCTCCTGCTCAAACTTCCTTCTCAGCTCTTCCTCTCTCTCAGACTTCTTCTGAGCCCTCCCAACGAACAAGACATCTTCCCCTAAACTAATCCCATGCATCTTCTCAACCGCGCCAGCCGCTGCTTCCCAACACTCGAAGTTCACAAACCCGAAACACCTCGAGTTTCCGCTCTGGTCCCTCATCACGACCGCGCTCGATATCGACCCAAATTTGCCAAACGTCTTCTTCAGCTCGTCCTCACCAATCTCCTTTGGGAGATTCTTGACGTACACGTTAGTGAAACGCGGTGTAGGGGCGTTTTCGTCCCGAGCACGTTCTTGTCGTCTGATGAAGTGTCCCACGAAGACTAGCTTGTCATTCATCAGCATTCCGTTTAGCTTGTCGATTGCGGCTTGAGAGGACTCCTCCTTCTCGAACTGGACGAATCCATATCCCTTGGACCGTCCAGTCACGTCGGTTGCAACTTTGCACGAGAGGATTGTTCCGAAACTCGAAAACGTCTCGAACAACGCCTTGTTGTCGATTGCTGCGTCGAGGTTTTTAATGAAAATGTTTCCTTTGCCGCTCAGTCGCGTACTCGGGTCACGGTTCGAGAGCATGATCCTGATGGGCCTGTCGAAGAGAGGAGTGTAGTTCAACGCCTCCATTGCTCGGATAGCTGCAAAAATAAATCACATTTTTTTAACCAAACACAATATTTATAGACAGGAAAAAAAATAATATATACATTCAGAAATGAACGAATACGTATCCACGAATTCTACGTATGGTTTGGAATTCTCTTAGAAAATAATAATCACACAAATTAATCAAACTACATCAACAATTGTAGAAAAGTTGCATCAACTACATCTATGAATGCATAATTCTAGCTTCGAATTCTGTACGATAAATTCGGTATGCAAACGATATATGTCTATGTAGCTGAAACATGGTATAGTACAAAGATAAACCATATATTTCTAATATATTAGTATATGATGATTTGCAGAAACATGATACATCAGCGTTATTCTATAAAAAAAAAGCGAGATTGAAACAAAGCTTTAAGAAAACACCAAATTATGTATGCAGTACAAATTCTCTTTATTGTAATGCAATTTATGATAATATATCTTATTTTCGCAAGAGATGAAACCCTAACTTGCAATTCAAGAGGTAAAGAATTGTATTTACCGTCATTAGGGCTACTGAAATTGATGTAGGCATATCCCAAAGAACGACGGTTCTGATCGCGACAGACTCTAACTGAGACAACAGTAGCGACATGCTTGAACAGATCGAAAAGATGCGCTTCGGCGACTCTCGGGTCCAGATCTCCCACGTAGAGCGATGAGTTTGGGTGCGTTTGATCCGCCGCCAATGCCGGAGATGGAACAGGTATCGAAACCGGAACCTGAACCGAAGTCTGAGACGTCGGACTTGGGACCTGATCAACCATCGCCGCCGGTGCAATCCCTGTCGCAACCGCCGCCGCCATAATGGTCAGTCTGTTTTTTCTACGAGGCGATTCGTGATTTTCGTATCGCTTGGGAAAAGAACTGATCCTTGTGAAAAAAAAAAAGTTAAATGATTGGATTCTCTAGGGTTTTTAAGTGAAAAAAGAGATTGTGTTTCTATTTTCTTCAATATTTACAATTATAATTACTTTTTTTTGATATTTTTATTCCCATTTTATAATTTTGTTTTCCTTTTATAGTTTCCTCGGGTAATTGAGAGGAAGTGAAGAGGGGAAAATCGAATCGGTGTGAGTTAGTGTGTGTGTATACGGGTATTTATACATGAGAAATTGGTACCGATTACTTAAAAAAAAAAAAAAAAAAGTAAACAGAAAAAAAAATTTGGACCGATTAAAAAGATGTAATAACCTTTAACTAAAAAAAGGTGAATATTATGATTTTTTAATAAATACAAAGAAATTGTGTGCCAACAGCCCCAACACCATATATGATTTAAATATTTGGAAATGTAAAATAGTTAAAAAAAATTATATGAAATTAGGCATTTCCACATGAAAAACATAGCTAAATGCATGGTAGAATGTAGGCCTGGGCGTTCGGGTTTCGGTTCGGGTTCGATTTCGGTTCTATTCGGGTTCGGGTCTTTTCGGGTTGCTAAATTTTAGACCCATTCGGGTTTAGGGAAATTTCGGTTTGGTTTCGGTTCGGTTCTGTCGGGTTCGGGTCGGTTCGGGGCTAAATTTTATGGACCCGTTCGGGTTTATACAAATTTTGGTTCTTATTCGGGTTTCATTCGGTTCTGATCGGGTTGGTTTTTTATTTGTTTTTATAACCCGAATATCCAAAATCCTACAAAATAACCAAAAAACTTGTCTTTACTCCATCTTCTACTAAATGTTTTTAGACTTTTCGAATATTTTGGTTATTTTGTTCTAAATATAACTATTATATTAGATTTTAATTGTAATTTTAGTTATTTTTTATTATTATAAACTAAAAAATAACTAATATTTTGGATATATAATTATATTTTGGATATTTCGGGTATTCATTCGGTTCTCGGTTCGGTTCGAGTTCGGGTTCGGGTTTTCGGGTATAAAATTTTTGGACCCATCGGGTATCCGTCTTGGTTCCGGTTCGGTTCGGTTCATCTTTTTCGGGTCGGGTTCGGTTCGGGTCTTTCGGGTCCGGGTAAAATGCCCAGGCCTAATAGAATGTTATAAATGAAATATATTATAACATTTTTTTAGAACGATTTAGATGTCTACACTAGAGAACTTACATAAATACATTTTGTGCACGTTATATATAACATGTTATGTCAATACTTGTAAAGATAATTTAGATATTATATTAAAATTCTATATTATTTATCTAGGTATTTTTGTTTTTATTTTTAAGATGTAGTATGACATACTTGTATCTATAAAGTGACATACTTGTAAAATAATTTAGATATTATATTAAAATTCTATATTGTTTATTTTTAACATGTAGTTTCATCATCACCGACGTGTCATTTGTCCTGATTGCTATGTCACTTTAGTACAAAACATATGTCACTTGACTTTTAGTTATACTGCTGATTGGTACGGTTACTGCAGCTTTGGAGAATGAGAAGTAGTAGTACCGTTAGTTAAAGTTTTACTTTTCTGTCGTTTATTATGCTTTGACCAAGTTTTTAACACAGATTTTATTTAGTTTCGGAAAATAATTGCTTACACTCGTTTTGGATTGAAATGAGAACTTTTATGTTTTGGATTTTGAAAATTTACCTCACATATCCGTACAGATTAATCTTTTGATGATTTATAGATTGTAGTACTTGGATTGGAGTAAAAGACGGACACTTACCTATCTTTTTGGGAATAGAGCTTATGACACAAGACTATTTTTAGATTCTTTTGACCAGATCATGTTTTACGATAAACTATATCGAATTTCTCAAAAGTTGGATTAAACTTTATAATGATTCACTTTGCTTGGAGAATCAATCTCTTTTATTTCTCTTTTCAATTGTATGAGTTTTATAAATGTTCTTATCAATGTTCCAGGCCCGTTTATTCAATTAGTTTTAACTTCTAGTTCATATCACCACTATAATAACTTGAGCATTGAATAATTCATTCCTCTGTCATCGCGTGTTTCTCATTGTACGAAACAGATGACCAAATTACTTTATAATAAACTTAAATCGATCCAGAGGCTAGCCAAAAAGGCTTGGCTCGGTTAAGAAACGCAATTCTTTCATACATTATATCAAATCTAGAATGACAACTTTTACTAAACAAGCTAACGGTAGAGTTTTGTCACATAAAAGTATAGATTATATACAGAAAAATATGGAACGTACAAACTGTGTAATGGAGGAAGAAATGTTTGTTGAGTAGCAAAAACGAAATCAGGAAAAAAGCTTCACACATGCAAAACCGCAGAATGAGTGCGTTCGTACATATCTCCAGCCCTGCCATGACCCATGAGAGTTCACTAACTTAGCTCTTATTTATTTGTTATCTTTGCTTCCTCCACCCAAAACAAATGTAACAAGAACTATAATAAGACCGAGTATGTTGTAAAAAAGCTGCTCTGAGTTTGCTACAATCTATCTTCCTAGATTACGTTTTCTTAAGACCTTAAAGAAAGAAAAGAGCTTTTGCATATTCCCAACATACCGAGAGCTTACCGATTGCCGTTGTTCACCAGAACGAGGTATAGCGGATCAAGAGGAGAGAGACGGAATAGCTGCACAACAATGGCTACGCTCGTGCCGAAGCTGGAATAAACATGAACGAATAAACAAAATGTCCTTACTGGATGATGAAACGGATCTGTAAAGTCAATAACTTTGAGAGAAATTGTTACCTTCCAAGAGATACTAATAGAGCAACCCATAGTATTCCAACGATCCAGCTAGATTCTTTGTACACAACCCAAACCTGAAAACATATAAAACAGTAATGACTCATGAAGCAAAGAGATTCTTAAGTTGTGATAAGCCAGTGAAAGCTTTGGGAACTTACTGATAAAACCGCGACATGGATGTAGAAGTTAGCCAGTAAAACCACCATCCACCTGTGGGATCATTTAAGCCAACAAAGTAAGCAAAAGCCAAGAACATATTCACAAAGATTGTGCCAGATGATTCCGAATACAAACAAATGCACACAAAAAGAATGAAGAAACTCACGGGTAAAGAAGCTCCATGCGGAAAGGAGAACCATCAGTCCAACAAGTGTAAACCAGAGCTCCAAGCATGACGCATCCCAAGGCACCAAACAAGAATCTTGCAGCGACGACGAGAGATTTCTTGTCTCTGAGACCCACTCCATCCCTTAACAAGAGTATGCATTCACATCATTATCGATCTCAAAGCTTTTATACAAGAAATTTTGGAAAGCTTATCAAGATATTCAACAACAGAGAGCAACCAGTTGATGGAAATGGAAGCACATACTTGACTGAATCTCGGAGTAGCAAATAGTACATAGGATCCTCTGAAGCCTGAGAATTTGTCAGCTTGAGGAGTTGCAGAAACAGATACACACAGGTCGTGAGGCTGGAAGAAATTGTTACCACAACCACAAAAGTGTCAAGAGAAAAAACAGAATTCACAGAAATTATGCTCGTCCATGGACTTAATTTGCGAAATACCTTCCAAATACTATGAGCAAAATGGCCCAGAGTATGGAACCAAGCCATGTCGACTCCTTGTACACAATCCAGACCTTAATTTTGAAAAAAATCAAAATCGCATCACAAGTTGAGGATCATCATATCCATATATCGGTTTAAGTAGAGAAATCAGCGGTGAATCGGAAGTTGAAGCATACCGCAATAGGCACAATGTTTATGTAGAAATCAACAATCGTCGTAGCGAACCATCTGAAGAATCGTAACGCAACGAGCATGAGTAAAAAAAAAGTATACACGAAATAGTGAAAGCATAAGAGAATTTGGGGATTACGGTGTGAAGACGTCTCGGCGGTTAGGTAAAGGGAGGCCATCGGTGACGATAGTGTAGATAAGGGTCGCGAGCATGACGCAGAACATCGCCGGCAAAAACACTTTTAGTCCGGTGACTAAACTAGTCGTCGCCATTATTAACCAACACACCCAGAGAGAGAGAGAGAGAGACGAGAAATCGCAGAGATTGACGGTGTTTGAAATTCCGATTGAGGTTATCAATGATCGAGAGATTTCAACTGAATCCCAAAGGGAGCGAAACGGGAGCGAAAGGAAGCGCCACGTCCTTCAATTCACTAAACCGCCACATTAGCACTGGTTTATTACAGATCGAGCCGAATTCGGTTTGTTTCGGTTTATTTCGGTTAAACCGGAAATCCACAAGGAGGATGACAAAGATAACATTTTTCACAACTAGATTACACACTCTTGGTAACAACAAATCTCTGGGAATCGTGAATCCACCAAATTAATGTACGAAAGATGAAGAAACCAATGCAACAAATCAAGAGAGCAATCAGAGAAGTGTTTGTTTCTTCAGCAAGCACAGCCTCCTCTTTGCTCAGGCTCCGAACCAGCATCTGGAATCCCCTGGAAATATCTGCAAATTGCCACAAAAAAAAAGATTCAGTTGAGATTCTGGTTTACATATCTTTTTTTAGAAGATGTATATTTTACTTACATATCTTGCTCGCGCTCATTGGCCAAGGCAAGTTTTGTGATGCACAAGAAGGAGTCATCTACATTGTAATCCTCTTTAGCCGATGTCTCGAAGTAGAGTATGTTCCCCTTTTGAGCACACCATTCTCTAGCTTTCTTCTCAGACACCTGACACCATTAACATAAAGATTTCCAAACTGTTATACCATATTCTCTATCAGCCACCTAATCTTCCACTTCCTCATCTAGATGGAGTTTCTTAATTTGTCTTTTAGTATACTTACCACACGGCTATTTCCTCCATCAATGTCAACCTTGTTACCAAGCAATATGAACGGGAACGCCTTTGGATCCCGCGGGCTAGCCTGGCGTAAACATAACAAGAATCTTCAGGAAAAATAAAACAAAACAAAAAAAGTAGCCAAAATTGGAGAAGATTAAGCTAAGAACCTGTTTAAGAAACTCCTCGTGCCAGTTGTCGAGAGAGTCAAACGATTTTAGGTAATTGACATCGTAAACAAGCACACAGCAATCTGCACCTCTATAGAAAGCAACACCAAGACTCTGGAACCTCTCTTGCCCTGCAGTGTCCCATATCTAAAAAGAGGATAAAAAAAACAAAAGTCATATTCGGAAAAAAACTCCAAATCGAGTGAAAAAAAAAAGAAGAAGAAGCAGATAGATTGATTAGTAAAGAAACCGACTTGTAACGTGATGAGCCTGTCATCGATTTGAAGCTCCTTGGTGACAAAATCAGCTCCGATCGTGGCCTTGTACTGTTGACTAAACTTGTTATTCACATATCTACACACAGTAACCGCTAAGGCTTTCACTGATAACAGCTTCTAAATATCGAAATATAGTGAAAAAAAAAAAGTAAATTGAAAAGCTAGTGAGGATACTGATTCATCAACGATGTTTTGCCAACCCTGAGAAATTTGGGGGAAAAACAAAAAGTTGGTATTTTTATCAATTATTGAAGTCAATGTTAAGTAATAAAAGTGAAATCAGCTAACCCGCTGTCTCCAAGGACGATAACTTTAAGCAAAGTTCGTCTTCGCATCGACATGTTTCAGTATACCGGAACTGCGAGCTCTGTTCTTCAGATTCGAGAACAAAGAACAGACGAGAGAAAAAGTAAAAAAGGAGCGCCAATTTCGATCTAAGATCTTCTGGGAAACAATAAAGTTTTTGAAAATAGAAATAATCTTTTAAGAAAAAGAAATTGCTGGCGGTGGGGTTTGTACAGCTTTTAAGAAAAGGAGTAGAGAAGATAAATAATTCTCATTCTGTCTGTTTCAGATTGACACATCACACACACATCCTTGCAATTTTCTGCTTATATTATTGCTCAAGTCATAGGAACAAGTTTTGTAGTTAAACACCAGAGGCAAGATGTCTGAAACAAAATTAAACATTCAAACTTCAAACTAAGAAACCAAAACGTACAGAGCTAAAAGATCCGTCACGATGACTATGGTTCACAAAGAAACAAAAAAACAGGTCATGTTTTTAAATTAAAAGGAAAAATAAAAGTATTATGTTATAACTTGTAACAAAAAAAAACGTCACTACGAGGAGACGTTTCCTGTAAGATCATCAAAGTAACCAAAACTTTTAGTTTGTTTAAGAAAACAAAAAAAAACAAAAACCGGAATCAAAAGGTCTTGATTGTGGCTCAAATGCATCCAGAAGAAGAAGACGAGCCGTTCTCTTTCTTACCATGCGTCTCCTCAAACGCAAACGATTCGTCCAAGAACCCTTCAAGCTTGGCTCTCTCAACGCAACTAGAGAACTTCTTGGCAGCATCAGGAACGTCCAAAGACAGGTCCTCAAGCGACTCGTTCACTCTTTTAAACCCTTCCGTCATCTGATAAATCGTCACCAGTCCCGACTCAAAACACACTTTCAGCAGCTTCCACAGCCGCTCGTTCTCCTTCTCCTCAATCATCCTCACCACCGACTTCTTCACAACCTCGTGGTGGAAAAACGGCATCCCTAGCTCCTTCACGCACCTACAAGCCTCGCTCAGGTCTCCACCGGACACATACTCCTCCAAAAGATTCTGAATCGTCTCTTTCACTTCGCACACAGTGGACCCCGGAGAGTTCGTCTCGATGACTCCTCCTCCTCCCCAGCAACGTAATATCCTCTCACCGAAAAGAGGTGCCTTCAGCAACGTTTTCGCCGTCTGGATCACTTTCTCCCCCACGGCTGAGCCTGGCTCGGGAGTCTGGTTCAACAGCTCCTCCAAATCACGTGGAGCTAACACCTCGTCGACCACGGCTCTGGCCAAGAACATGGCGAGGTCCTCAACGACAACCGGGTTGTCTAGAGCAGTGTCGTCTGCAGATTCTATTAGCATCGAGAAGCCATTCCTCACCTCCTTGGGAGGGAAATCCAGAGACGAGATGAGAACACAAGCCATCTCCTTCTCTCTCTTCTTCCTATCCATCGCCAGAGTTATCAGATACTTGACAAAGATTGACCGCAGCTGGCTCGAAGACGCGCTCAGCTCCGTCTCCAGGAAATGCACGACCTCTGACGTGTCCCCCGAGAGGAAATACTCCCGCACGATCGACTTGGTCTTGTCTTTAAACACACAGGCGCTGGAGTTTTCGAGTAGCTTCTCACCTGGAACAGCGGAGAGCGATTTCAGAGAAGAAGCACACAGCCATCCTTCAGAAGCCGCTTTAGAGATGAAAGACTGTAACACACGGCGCGCCTCCGGTATGTCAAGAGACAAATCCTCAATCGAGTCGATGATTCTGCTAAACCCTTTCGTCACCTGAGTGGAGTTTATGAGACCGACCTCAATCGCCTCCTTTAGCAAATCCAGCAGCCTTGCTTCAGCCTTACGCCTCTCCATCGCCATGATCAGCGCACGCTTGACAATCTCGTGGTGAAAGAAGGGAACTTTCAGTCCTTTGATGCATCTGAAAGCTTCCTTCTTGTCTCCGCTCACCACGTACTCTTTCAACAGTTCGTTTATCCTTCCTTTCACGTCCTCAGCTGTCCAGTTATCAGTCCCTCCCCACCGCTTCTCAACAATCTCCGCGTGAAGCGGAGTCGCTAGATAGCTCTTCTCGGCCTTCTCAAGCACCTCCACACCTTTCGAGTTCTCCGGCAGAAGATTCATCTGCTTCTTCAGAAACGCAGGCGGGAGAATGTCGTCGACGATGGCACGAGCCACAAACACGGCGAGAATATCAACCGCATCCGGAATGTCAACGGATAAATCGTCAGCGGAAGCCACCAGTTTGTTGAAACCTCTGTAAACCTCTGGAGGATCAATGACATCGGCGTAGAGCGTAGAGAGCAGAAAAGCAGCCATCTCTTTCTCCTTGTCGTGCCTATCCATAGCCATGGAGACTAGCTTCTTGACGAAATAGTAACGGTACTCAGCCATTCCAAGCTCCTTGAGCTCGTTAGCAACTGATACAACGTCATTGGTGCTGAAGTACTCCTCGACGATTACTGTAGCCTTTTTCTTGTACTCGGTTAAATCTGCGTCGAAGGTTGTTGAATCTGAATGTCCATTGCCCTGCTTCCAGCAAAAGGTATCATCAATCAGCGTTGAAAATCAAAAGAGAGCCATAAGAGGTTTCAGTTAATGAGAATATACCTCAATGGAGTCATAACCTAAAGTTCCTTCGCTCCCTTCAACTGCATCGTGGGAAAATTCTAAAACCATCATCTCAGGCGAGAACATAAGCTTCACAAAATATCCAAACAGGAATCAAAAATGGCAAAATGCTATACCTTTTGAAGCGAGAGGAGAAGAAGAAGAAGATATTTTCAATTGAGAAATGGAGAGAGGATCCGTTTTTTCCATAGAAGAATCTACAAGTTCTTGTTGCTTGTTGAACTCCATCGACTTTTTTCGAATCCCTCCAATTCCTCAACTTTCGATTGTCCCACGATCAGTCAATCACCATAGTTTGCTGAAAACAAATATCACTCAAAGGTTCAATTCCCAAGCAAATTTTTGATCTTTTGCAGTGTTCATAGAATCTTGTTTATCCAAAAAAAAAATAAGAATTCTCCAATTCAAATCAAACAATCAAGATTCGACCACCAATATAGGTTAAACTCAGCCTAATTAATCACATCGATGAATGTAAAACGAAAATTCAACACCCTGGAATTAAAAAAAAAAAACTACAGCAATATGGATTTAGGTCAATACAATTCGTCGATCTACGAGCAGATTAGTCGAACGATTACCATCGATACAATTCAAATCGCATCGAAAACATCAACGGAGCAACCGCAGAAAATCGATCAAACATGAATCTAAATTGAACAGAATTAAAAAACGGAGATACACGATAAAACGATTAGAGAGAAGCGAGAGGAGAAGAGAAAAGCGTACTCGAGAGGAAATCGTGGAAGACTCGGCCGGAGTGACACAGCACGCCGGCGATCAAGCAGGCGTACTTTTTTTTGGTTTTTTTTTTTGGTTTCTCCTCGGCGAGTCGTAGCACGATTGTGATTGTGGTCTGTAACTGAAATATTATTATTTATTTCTTTTTTTTATTTTATTGAGATTTTTCTTATTTAGGAATGAATGAGCATTAAGTAACAACGAGTCTCGTTTGGCTTGCCTTGCCCGTAAATTGCTTCCGTGTCCACCACTACGCTCTCGACATTTGTTACCCGACCACGTCTTGCCCGAGTCATTCACGCTCCTTCACTACTCTCTCTTTCTTCTAGTTTCTTCGCTCTCTCAATTTCTTTTTCTTTTTTGGAAGAAAATATAAAAGTTAACTGATTCTCACGTAACTATAATATTTGATATTATCTCTGTTTTTCATGAATTTAAATTGTCGTCATAAAGCTTTTGATGAAAAAATAAAGTGTCCTTAGAAATATTTTAATTTTGTTTCTTTGAATACTACTAGTTTTTCAATAATGATTTTTAGGTAAAATTCCATTTTTAATTAAAGAGAAAAAAATAGACCACTTATGATTTCTTGATATACATGTGCATTAATATACATATCAAGTCCAATGATCCTTTTCTTTGGCAAATTTTATGAATCTTGCCAAAGATCCTCTGAATACTACATGTATATTATTGACAAAGGTAGGTTCTGCAAAATCCCAATGGCACAAAGAGATTCAGTGAAGGACATAACCTTCACATATCATTAAGATCATATCCTACAATTACAAACCATTTCAAGGTGAAAGAGAATTGCACAAGAGCATAATATAAATCTTTAGTAATAACACAAACTCAATCTTTCTTCACATCTAATGCTTCTTCAACTTTATCTCCGTTTGCTTCTTCTACAATCTCCTCTGCTTCTTTTGTCTCATCTTCCATTTCACTATCCTCTTCTGCAAGAAAACACATAATCATTACTACAACCATACTCTAACCATCACATATTGTCGGAGAAAACTTCTTTAATTGCTTGAAACAAGACCACGTAAATATCCTATACACGTCACAAAACTTTACCTTCGTCTCCAATGTCCTCAGCGTCTCCCATGTTAAGACTCTACAAACAACAACAAAAACATTAGTTTTCAAGATAAGTATTGATCCTTGGGAGCAAACATTTTCCTCTAAACCAAAACTCATTGGCCTTACATTGAAATCGAAATCTCCAAAGTCCATATCCTCTCCTACAAATAACAGATAAAAGATTGATTAGTCAGCTAAGTTAACAACAGAACACAACTGCCTATAAGCTCCTCCACTTCAAGCAATCATTCATTTACCTTTCTCTTCGTCTTCATCAACCCATTTATCCCAATCAACTTTCAAGTACACAGGAGGTTTCCCTTCTTGTTTAATCAACCTGTTCCACCACTTGCTCTCAGCTTTCTTCACCAAGTAACATACACATCTCGAGCTCACACTCGCCTTGCTCTCCTGCAATCATCAATCACCATTTCCACAATCCAAAATCCGATAACAACAACAAGTACAGTTAGAAAAACAAGAATCCATCTTTGCTTGCACCTACATTCACGTCGACGTTATCGAACAGATCAAGGTCAACCTCGTACTGTGTCTTGCTGGCTCCACTCGTAGCAGAGAAAAAGAATTTTCCTTCAGGCTCTAGCTTAAGCTTTACATCTTCAGCGTCTGGCAATTCCACTGTGATGTATACCTTATCTGACCTTTGCGCCCACTTCACCGTAGGATGTCGGCTGCAATTTTGAAAGTATATTAGGACTAAAACCGCTAAACTCAATAAGAAATCAAAAAACGTTTCCATTACTTAATTCCCCATTCGGAGAGAGAGAGAATGAAGGTGTACCTCATTTTCAGAAGATCAACGAGTTTTTTCCAGAATCTGAAGCAGAGAAACAGAGGATTCAGTGAAAATGATGACAAGTGACTGTATAAATACGGACCAAACTGTCTAGATGCTTCCGTTGTGTTCTGGTCCCTTTGCGAAAATCAAATTTAACTTTTTTTCTTCGAATAAAAACAAATGGGCTTTTATCCTGACACCAAACCCAGTATTTACTGGGCCTTTTGAAATGGATGCGCGTGATTCCCACGCAATCATCAATACGAAGATCCACCTCGGCAGTCCGACGTGTCGCCTCACAAAACCAGACCTTGATCTCCAAGCAAAAAAGACTCCCAAAGAAAACAAAATGAATAAAATAATAATTACAGAAAATAGGGTAAATACGAAAAAGTATGCATCAATCCAATTGGAACAAAAATCGCCTCTTTCCTCTCTGTACTTTGCTCTGTTCTTAGATTCTGAAATTTTTTTGGTTTTACTTTTAGATGATGGAGTCCTTAACGGGTTCATCCCTCGGTGGAAACGGAGCTCTAGCCCCAGGTTTTAGGTTTCACCCGACGGACGAGGAACTTGTGGTGTATTATCTCAAGAGAAAGATTCGTCGGAAAAAACTCAGAGTCGCTGCCATCGGCGAGACTGATGTCTACAAGTTCGATCCCGAGGAGTTACCCGGTACACCTTCAATTCCTTCCCCACTCTCCCCCATTTTCACTTGATTTGTAACGAAAATTGAAATGCTTTGCTCTGTTTTCAATGTTTCTATTAGTCAGTTTCTGATTCGGAAAATGGGGACTGTAATTTTTGCAGGGAAGGCCTTGTACAAGACAAGGGATCGTCAATGGTTTTTCTTCAGCCCGAGGGACAGGAAACACGGAGGAAGGTCGAGCAGAGCCACCGGTAATGGATACTGGAAAGCGACGGGGAAAGACAGAGTGGTGAAATGCAATTCACGTCCCGTCGGAGAGAAGAAGACGCTCGTTTTCCACAGAGGCAGGGCGCCAAACGGCGAGAGGACCAACTGGGTCATGCACGAGTACACACTGCACCAAGAGGAGCTCAAGAGGTGCGGAGACGTCAAGGAAAACTACGTGCTTTACAAGATTTACAAGAAGAGCGGGTCTGGTCCCAAGAACGGCGAGCAGTATGGAGCTCCTTTTATAGAAGAAGAGTGGCTTGATGCTGATGAGGATGCTGATGATGTCGATGACAATGCTGGTGTTGTCGATGTTCCTGAGAACCAGCAAATTGTATGGGCCAATGGTCTTAACCAGACTGAGCTGAATGATAACGATATTGAGGAGCTGATGAAACAGGTCAGAGAGGAGCCTGGGCATGTGAGATCGTCGTTGGCTCCAACTCTGCAGTCTCGTGTGGAAACGTATGATCCAGTGACGGTGGCGAAAGATGCCTACTTGGAAATCGATGATCTTTTGTTCTCTGAGCCGGAACCAACTTCTACTGAAGGGAATGATGATGATTTCTTTGACATCGATTCATATTTCCAAGATTTGGATGGCGTAACCACTCAGCCAGAGCCTGTCGGTGTTGTTGGTTTGAAAAATGGGTTTGAGCAAGGTCTTCAGGTGAGTACTACTTACTCGGTGACTGACCAGGCCAGTGATAACCATTTCCAGGAGCAAACATGGAATAACCAAGGTGGTAGCAACTGGCCACTCCGTAACAGCTATACGAGAAAGATAAGCAATGGATCGTGGACTCATGAGCTAGACAACGATGCTGTTACCACTACAGGTACTTTAAAAATCTGTTTCGATTTTCATGGAGTTTTTCTTGTGTAGTTTCTTCAATTCTATTGCTTAATTATATTTCTCTCTGACAGGTGATGTATCTGAATTTATAAACCCTGTTACTTCTGGTGTAAGTATAACCAAGGAAGAAGAAGCGACAAAAGGCGAGTCAAGTCAGTTTGCTTCTAGTCTATGGACTTTCCTGGAGTCGATTCCTGCGAATCCAGCATATGCTTCAGAGAATCCGTTTGTTAACTTGAACCTAGTCAGAATGTCAAGCCGTGGTGGTCGTTACAGGTTTACTTCTAAAAGCACTGTAGCGGTGACCAACGATTCAGCAGCCAAGAGGAATACGTCTGCGGGAAAGAAGAGCAACCACAAGGGTTTCTTCTGCTTATCGATCATTGGTGCTATGTGTGCTTTGTTCTGGGTGATGGTAGGAACAATGGGAGCTTCAGGAAGATCTTTGTTGTGGTGAGAAGTAGTTCAAAGAAAGAAAAGGCTTAAGAGAGTGTGTGAGCCGTTTCCGAGTCAAATCACTGTAATTATTTTCTTATAGCTCTTTAGCTTCAGAACCTGTTTAGTATCAGTTTTTTTGTTTTGGTAGCTTTTACCATTCTGCAGAACAATCTATTTAGCTTCCTCAATGCATGCTTAGAGGCAAAATAAGCTCTAGTCATCGCTTCCTGATCACATTTTCTTTCTGCTTCAATATGTTTTGATTTGTTGTTTTGTTCCTTACTATTTAGAAGTTTTGTGGAAGCAATTCTATAAAAATGTGCAAAGATCACTATGATGATGATTGCGAATGGAAAAAAGCTACCTGTAAATATATTCCGGAGACCAAAACTTTAACCCGAGAGTTGTAGCTGATGAGCGGTGATATCCTCGAGCTGCTTCTTCACGCTCATATCGATAAGCTTAGAGCCTGAACTACCGAACCGGATTGTGAATCCGGCGATCAAGCTCGGGTCAATCACGGTTCTGATTCTGACGTTCTTAGCGCCGGTGAGTTTCTGCAAGTGCTTCGCGATCTGAGCTAGATGCTGGGAATCAAGCTTCACCACCGACTTCACAACCGCGAGCTCCGTCTGCGTCACCTTGTTGTACACCAATTCGAACTCCTTGATGATCTCGTTGACTAGATCAATCCGATTCGAGTCGATCAGCACATTCAAGAAGTTCGCCGTGTAGGGAAGCAGCGATAAGGACTCCGCGATCAGATCGATCACCTCTCGCTTCTTCCAAAGCTCCACCGTCGGGTTCACGAACAGTTTCAGTATATTCGGGTCTAAAAACATCTTCTCCAGCTTCTCCACGTCGTCGCAGGTCGATTCCAGAGTGTCGTTCGCCTTCGCCGCGTCGGCCAACGCCGTCGCGTAGATTCCGGAGACCGACGAGGACATTCTCAGTCTCAACTCGCCGCCTCGGCGAGGGAATTGGACACTGAAAGGGAAGGTACTTCGTCCGCTTGCCAAAAGCGAGAGACTGAGCTTCGGGCGGTGAGGAATCAGTGTTTGCTGGAGTGAGGAAGCCATTGTCAACGATCAACAGATTTTCTCAGAAATGGGATTGATGGAGACTGGAGGAGAACGATGGGGACGCCATCTAACGGTCGACACTGATTCAGGGCTTTTCCAATTGACGGCTGAGAATGATTCGCGGAATACGGCGTCGTATGTCTGTTAAACCCTAACGATTTGCTAAAATATGAATCTGTTTTTCCGCCTTCAGTTTCCGTGAGCTATTCTTCTCGTCGCCGGCGAGCTCTTCTTCACTGGTAAAAATCGCCGCCGAGCAGGTATCTACGCTCTGTTTTGATGTGCTTCTGCAGCTTCCTCTCAGTCTGTCTGGTTTGATTATTCTCTACTTATTATCTTTTGTTGAATCTTCCCTTAGGGAATCAGGTAGTTGAAGAGCAAGATGAGTGATACAGAGATGAGTAATCAAGCATTGGACGAAGAGGAACAAGGAGAGGTTTTCTTAGATGAATCTGATATCATCCGTGAAGTTGATGTCGACGAAGAAGGTAGTCTCTTCTTCAATCACAGCCTTCCATACTCTGTTCTTAATGTATGTATGTTTGCTTGTTGTTCACTCTCTCCAATCGTGGATGCAGATCTTCCTGATGTCGATGATAATGATAATGATAATGATGATGACGAATTTGGTACGGCATTACTTTTCTTGTTTGGGATTATTTCATCATTGATTCAATTCTGAGCCATTGCATATATCATACTCTTTTTGTTTGATTCTTCTGAGAGGTGTTATGTGTGTACATTGTTGTTTTGCCAGATGAAAACGATGACTCTGTACACACGTTCACTGGTCACACCGGTGAGCTGTATACACTAGCTTGTAGCCCAACAGATCCTACACTTGTTGCAACGGGAGGAGGAGATGATAAAGGCTTTGTATGGAGGATTGGAAATGGAGATTGGGCTGCTGAGCTTCCAGGTCTCGCCACATTAAGAAACTCTTAAACTGTTATTGAGCTTCTTGTATCAATCCTTGTTAATCAATCTCCATGCTTTTGAATTTCTTTACTAGGTCATAAGGACTCGGTGTCTTCTTTAGCTTTTAGCCACGATGGACAGTTACTTGCATGCGGAGGACTGGATGGTGTTGTCCAGATATGTGATGCTTCATCAGGAAATTTGAAATGTGTTCTGGATGGTCCTGGTCTTGGAATTGAGGTGAAACCTCTGCTTATTTTATGATCATTTTCTTGCAAGTGTCAAAAGTAAGAAAATACTTATTACTCTGTGTGGTTTTTTGCAGTGGATCAGATGGCATCCGAGAGGACATGTTGTCTTGGCTGGATCAGAAGATTGCTCCCTGTGGATGTGGAATGCTGATAAAGGCATTTATCTTAATATGTTTTCAGGACATAACCAAGGTGTCACTTGCGGTGACTTCACTCCTGATGGTATTTACAAGAGAAAAAAACTTGTGCCTAACATGCTTTATGGGTCTTATTAAATCCTATCCACTTTGATAAAACTCTTCACCTGTGACTCTGGACATTGTAGGTAAATTAATCTGCAGTGGTTCTGATGATGCAAGTTTGATAATATGGAATCCGAAAACATGTGAAAGCGTTCATGTGGTTAGAGGTATTCCAATCTCATTTCCTTTCTCAAGTTATTTTTTAAGGACATAGATAGGTATAAAATAAACAGAGAAGATTCTTTGTTTTGTTTTAAGACTGGTGTGAGACACTAACCTCTATTTTCTATTAGGTCATCCGTATCATACCGAGGGATTGACATGCCTGGACATAAATTCCACCTCCAATCTCGTCATCAGCGGCTCAAAAGACGGTTCTGTTCACATTGTGAATATAGTTACCGGAAAGGTTTGTCCCTATCTCCTTCATAACTTTACTTACTGTTATCCACTTCACTTGATTAGCTGTCTTTACTTTTTGCATAAAGCTCGTATCAAGGTTTGTGTCAATAGTCTTGCCATATTTCTCGTGCATGTCATTCTGTACTGATACGTAATGTCAACAGGTTGTGAGCTCTCTGTCTTCTCATACGGATTCAGTTGAATGCGTTAAGTTTTCACCAAGGTAAGCACCCATCACCAACACACATTACAATGAAAAAAGTACATTACTAACTGTGACTTTCTCACCTCATGGCACTGTAGCTCGAGTAGCATCCCAATGGCTGCAACAGGTGGAATGGACAAGAACCTTATAGTTTGGGATCTGCAACACTCAACTCCCAGGTTCATCTGCGAACACGAGGTATGTGTGTGATACACATCTCTCTCTCTCTCTGTGCGCGGTCAGATTCTTTTTGTTCTCTACTATAAAGCAAGCTCTTGTGGTGTGTCTCTATTCAGGATGGTGTGACGAGCCTGACTTGGATAGGAACATCGAAGTACTTAGCCACGGGATGTGCCAATGGCACAGTTAACATATGGGACTGCTTATCAGGAAACCGTGTCCATGCTTTCCAGGGACATCAAGACGCTGTCCAGTCCATCTCAGCGTCTGCAAATGGTGAATTCCTTGTCTCTGTCTCTTTAGACAGCACTGCTCGTGTTTTCCAGACATCAGAGTTCCAGTGAAACCAGATTTGAGAATGTCTTTCGATAGAAACAGGAAATGATGATAATGATGATGATTACTCTCTAAACTATTGTTGGATTATGTTACTACGGAATCAAATCTAGCTTAAACAATGTTAGTTCGAAAAATGACAGATGAAAAGTGTGAGTTTCATAGATATGATATTTCTTTCGTTTGAGCTCATGGTAGAACAATGTTAGTGTCGACTGCCTCACCAAAATCATTATACTAAATTAAGTATTGCACACTTTTCAATATAATTTTTTTTAACCAAATTTAAACTATAATTAAATTAGATGTTCCCTGTTCCCACTCTCACACATGTAAAAATTGAATAAAACTTTCATCCGATTCGGTATAGAGAGTGTAAACTTGGATCAAATTATGTGGATGCAGCTCGACGGATATTGGGAAATAGAGAAAAGTCCATATAAGTGTACACAATTGATTGATTGGACACCCAAAATCAAACAAACAAGTGTAAAAATTGAAAGAGATGGTTTCTGGTAGGGGCATTTCGGGAAAGATGAGAAGAAAGAAGAAACAGATCTTCGGTGTAATGATTTAGAGGATGCAACATGGAAAGAGAACAGCCACACGACATGTTAACTTCACGTTATAACGTAAGTGGTCTCTGCAGTGTTGGATTCGGTGGAATCTTTAGGGCGGTTAGGTCCTTTTTAGACTGCGACAATTACTTTTCATTAAGTTACCGAATTTTCGATATGTAACATTGTGAATGATGTGAAGATCATAAATTTCATCAACCTTTCAAAAAACAAAAAAATCAGATGGTATCATCATCGTCCTTAAATAAATCTTAAACGTAAATGTTCTTATCAAACTGTATGACAATCATGGATAAAACCATAATATTCATAAAATTTGTTAGACATTATACACGCTGGTTAAACTGATAACGCCATGACCAAATATAAAAAGGAGAAACTCTCTCACTTAATGCTCTTGAGCAAATGTTGCCAAAGAAAATCTATGATTTGTGTATGTACATGTGGATATATTCTTCCCTACTGATTTACATGAACATATGATGCATGGAGATGAGAAACCCTAAAGCATAAGACAACACACATATACTAAACAGAGGTTTGGGTCGGGACAAAACGTAATATAATCAATATGCATGTGCGAAGACTTTTTTTTTGTAGGAAACAGATTGACATTTTTGTGAGTTATATAGCAGGATCCGATTCCACTTCGTTTTAGTGGTGTCTTGTTCACGCAAGCATGCGGCTGCTAAAACCAGCCACAAAACACTTGGGCTCTTTATTTTTCAAATGTTAAGTTATGTGGATCGGATTTATATGTCCGCATTTTAACGTCGCTTCAATCCTAGCAGAAATCAACATATCTCCATTTTTCGATGAGACAATCGCTATATTGTTTAGTAAATGGAACATGACTAATTTTCAATAATTTACTATAACTATATGTCTAACTTCAAATTAAGCTTAGACAAGACTATTATTACTATGCATAAAGTATGTGGGTAAGTTAATCATCTTTCAAGAAAAAAGTATGTGGATAAGTTTTCAGTTTGTTTTGGGTACTTCAATACCAGTGTTAACCATGCATGAAGATATTATTTGGTTGTTTCAGTGATGTCTTTTTGTTTATTCTAGATACTAGTCAATTTTGTTTTGTAAATTATATGGATTTTTTCTTTCCAAACCAAGTAATTTGAGCTTATAAGGTCTTTTTTTTAAATACCGATTCAACATTTTAAATTATTATAAAAAAGAAAAAGAAGAGTAAGCTTATCCTGAATCAAAGATATTTAAAAAATTTCATTTTAAACTTCAAGTGATAAATATACAAGTACCAAATAAGAATATGTCTAATCAACAAAACGACACTACAGGAGTAGATTATGCTTCCTTCACTTATAGAGCTGGACCAACACGAATCCAAAATCAGCAACTTGATATGTCATCCATAATTTAGATTGACATAAGCATATATTCGAACTTCACTATGAACAAGAAAAAAAAACAAATAGATAAGTATTGGCAGGTGAGAATGTTTATTAGCTCCGGAAAAAGAGCAACATAACGAGGAATAACCAATAAAAGATCAAGAACTTACAGTAACAAATCAAAACACGACAATATGATCCGAAATAGTAAATACTGAAAAGATGGTGAAACGAAGTTTATTCTTATCACCATATATCAAAACCGAACATAGTAGTTGTTACTGAATTCGGGAATTTGGAAAACTAGGTAGTTGGCCCGCGCCTGCGCTGGCAAGAGATGTTTTAGAACTTTAAATTCTTTCAATTAATATTAGATGAACACATTTTCTTTTTAATTACTTTTCATGTTTTTGTAATGTGTTATTTTCCAAGGAAGTAATAGCTTAACATTTTGTTAATTTGATACGAACATTATAAATTGTGAAAGATATAGAAACAAATATAGTTAAATTTTGTAATGGTTGTTTTCTTCTCCCTCTTATTCTTTTTCACTGATCCATCTTTTTTTTTTTTTCCATTTATTTATTCGTTGTCATCATCTTTTTTTTTCCCGCTTCTTCTTTTTCAAATTTTCGTTCTTCAATCATTTCTTGTGTCTTCATATCCTCCAACTTACTATTCTTCTTTTTCTTTCTAATTTTCTTTAAATTCTTTTTACGTTTTTTCTTCTTCCTCATTCCCCTCACTCTCTATCTTTATCATCTTCAGATCATCTTATTCTAGTTTTTATTTATTTCTTATTTGTCTTTTTTTTGTCTTCACATTTCATTTTTTCTTCTTTGTTTTCTTTTTTCTCTTCGAGTTTTCTCTTCTTCTCGAAGTTTCTCATCTTCTTTTCCACCGTCTTCTTTTATTCTACTCGTGTTATTATTCCTTCTTGTCTACGTCTTATATTTCACTTATCAATTCATTTGTAGTTTAGATTTTCAAGGATTCGTGAAATAGTTTTTTATCTTTATATTGTCGAGATCTTTTTAAAATCTAATTAATTGTGTTGTTATCTTTTGATTATGGTTATGCTTTCATTGTTTTAGTTTTTTTCTATTTGTGAGTGTATTTTAGAATGGTAGATATAAATTTATAATCATTGATTTTAATTTTGATATACTTTTATAATAATTCAAAAACTTTAAAATGCACCAAAAATTAAACCCTACACCCATCAATATAAACCCTAAACCCAAACTCTACATTATAAACCCCTCCTCCCCTAATTAAAGAACCTACACCCTAAACCCAAATCCACATTATAACTCCCCCTCAACTTTACACATCAACCTCATATTATAAATTAGTTTAAGATTTTCTTTTATTTTTATTTTATTTATAAAAGCTTTTTTTTAATGGTTGTTTTCTTCTCCTTTTTATTCTTCTCTAGTGATCCCATCTTCTTTCTTTTTTCTTCCATTTTTTTATCATTGTCATCATCTTCTTTTTTTGCTTCTTCTTCATCTTCCAATTTTTGTTCTTCAATCGGTTCTTGTGTCTTTATATCATGCAACTCACGATTCTTCTTTTTCTTTCTAATTTTCTTTACATTCTATTTCCGATTTTTCTTTTCCCTCATTCTCCCTCTCTCTCTCTCTATCTTTATCATCGTCTTCTCTGACATCATCTTATTATAGTTTTTATTTATCTCCTCTTTGTCTTTTTTTTCTTCACAATCCATTTTTTTTTTCCTCGTGTTAAAGTTTTCTTCTTCCTCTCAAAGTTTCCCATCTTGTTTTCCATCGTCTTCTTTTCTCTTACTCTTGTTTTTCGTCCTTGTCTACGTTTTGTATTTCACTTATCAATTCATTCGATAGTTAAGATTTTGTTAATTCATCAATTCATTTAATATTAGATTAACGCATTTTCTTTTTAATTACTTTTCATATTTTTGTAATGTGTTTATGTTCCATGAAAGTAATAGCTTAATATTTTGTTAATTTGATAAGAACTTATAAATTGTGAAAGTACAAAAAAAATAGTTAAATTTTGTAATGGTTGTTTTCTTCTCCCTCTTATTCTTTTTCACTGATCCCATCTTTTCTTTTTTCTTCCATTTATTTATTCGTTGTCATCATCTTTTTTTCTGCGCTTCTTCTTTTTTGAATTTTCGTTCTTCAATCCTTTCTTGTGTCTTCATATCCTCCAACTTACTATTCTTCTTTTTCATTCTAATTTTCTTTACATTCTTTTTACGTTTTTTTCTTCTTCCTCATTCCCCTTACTCCCTATCTTTATCATCTTCGTCTTCTCTAACATCATCTTATTATAGTTTTTATTTATCTCCCCTTTGTCTTTTTTTATTCACATTCCATTTTTTTTTCCTCGTGTTAAAGTTTTCTTCTTCCTCTCAAAGTTTCCCATATTGTTTTCCATCGTCTTCTTTTCTCTTACTCTTGTTTTTCGTCCTTGTCTACGTTTTGCATTTCACTTATCAATTCATTCGATAGTTAAGACTTTGTTAATTCATGATTTTAATTAATGTTAGATTAACGCATTTTCTTTTTAATTATTTTTCATATTTTTGTAATGTGTTTATTTTCCATGGAAGTAATAGCTTAATATTTTGTTAATTTGATAAGAACTTATAAATTGTGAAAGTACAAAAAAATTAGTTAAATTTTGTAATGGTTGTTTTCTTCTCCCTCTTATTCTTTTTCACTGATCCCATCTTTTCTTTTTTTCTTCCATTTATTTATTCGTTGTCATCATCTTTTTTTTCCCGCTTCTTCTTTTTTGAATTTTCGTTCTTCAATCATTTCTTGTGTCTTCATATCCTCCAACTTACTATTCTTATTTTTCTTTCTAATTTTCTTTACATTCTTTTTACGTTTTTTCTTCTTCCTCATTACCCTCACTCCATATCTTTATCATCTTCATCTTCTGAGACATCATATTATTCTAGTTTTTATTTATCTCTTCTTTGTCTTTTTTTCTCTTTACATTCCATTTTTCTTCTTTGATGTATTTTTCCTCATATTCGAGTTTTCTTCTTTTTCCTCTCCATATTTCCCA